CGCTCGAGCGTGTGAGTGTGAGTGCCTGTGTGCGTGCGTGTGTGTTTGTGTGTGCGCCCGCGCACGTACATGTGCACACATGTGTATATGCGTGCGGACATGTGTTTGTGTATGCTTGTGAAGTGATGTGATGCGGTGTGATGTGACCATTAATACATCGTACGTCTAAAAGTTGAAAGGTCCAGATCCATTAGTGCGAGGCGGGAGACAACACACTGGCTTTTCCCGACAAAACACCAAAGTCGGAGCCACTGACACAGACTGTCAAAACACACACAAAATAGTGACTAGATAACTCAGCATAACATACAGGGAAATTGGACGTCCAAATTCGAAGTTATACAAAACTGATTGGTCTTCTAAAAAAATCGCCAGCAACGAAAAACATTTCGCTTGCAACGAAAAACTACTATTGGAATAGATAAGTAGTACAAACGTCCCAGATAACAAACCATCAAATAAACACAAAACAACGTTATTAACATCAAAACCAACTCAAACAACCTCAAACATTAAAAGAAGGAAAGAAAGAAAGAAAGAAAGAAAGAAAGAAAGAAAGAAAGAAGAAAGAAAGAAAGAAAGAAAGAAAGAAAGAAAGAAAGAAAGAAAGAAAGGAAGAAAGAAAAGAAGAAAGGAAAAAAAAGATAAGGAAAAATAGTAACAAAAATGAAATTCAACAGGTTATGACCAAACTAAAATTAAACAAGAAACAAACACCCAAAACAAAACAAAAATAAACCAAACCCCTATAACCAAACCAAACGAAAGTACCAAGCGGCAAGAAGTGTCATACCCCGGGTGGCAACTGACCAAGCTGAGCAGAGAGCAACAAGCAGTGCTGGGATGGAAAAGGTTAACAAATGAGGGAATTGTACATACTGCAAAACAGAGAGGGTTAGCAAAAATGTTCTGAAAACGAAAGGGAGAAGTGAAAAAAGGCCTTCATTTTTCGTTGGGGATAGTGGATAATGAAGGCTTGTTCAAGGGAGATATTATACCAAGGGAGAGAAAAATGGTAGTGATGGGCTTGAACGTGTGACCGGGGTGTGTGTGTGTGTGTG